AAAGAGAATGTATTTTGTCAAAACTCTTAAAATGTCTATTATTCTGACAGAATTCGATTTCAATCTCTCCTTATTTGTCAAGATAGGAAAAGTAAAAAACATTGCAAGATAGGAAAAATGAAATACATTCTGTACAATCTGGTCATGTGGTATGTATTCTGCCAAAAGTCTTAGAATGTCTATTATTCTGACAGAATTCGATTTCAATCTCCTTATTTGTCAAGATAGGAAAAGTAAAAAACATTACAAGATAGGAAAAATGAAATACATTCTGTTAGAATATGCTATCATTCTCTATTATATAGTTTCTATTAAATAAGTAATGTTGATATTATGTCAGAATTTATTTGTATAAATGCATTCTGTTAGAATGTTTTTGAGAATGTTTGCTAACAAGTACATTAGCTTCACTGGTAATACTAACGAATAATGCATCTTATTCTTTCAGAATTGCTTGAAGAAGGAATTCAATATTGATCATACAAGAGAAAGATTTGGAATCGAGTTCAACAACAAGTATATTTTGCGAAGAATTACATTCTTATGATAATATATCACATTTTCATCATAGTTTGAATCAAGTGCATTGTTTAGACCATTGATGAAGATCATGTGTATTTGCTTAATAATTGTATATTTAAGAATGTTATTTCTTAATATTTTTATTCATTTTTGATGATATTCTGTTAAAATATGTATAACTATATAAAATTGTATAAGACTATTAGTTTGTAAGAATATGTATGATTTTGTATTCATGTTCTAATGTATATAAAGAATATATGTTGAATTATTAAATCAGGTTAATTATCAAAAATATATGCATTGGAAATATATTCCGCAAGAATAAAATCGAAAATATCTTTACTAATTAATGTTTGACAATCTGACAGAATAAAATCAGATTTTTAAATTCGAATTAATTTAAAATATTCAGATTTTAAAAAATAAAGAATTAATTATCCCTAAAAATCCGAAAAATTTCCTTTTTTTAATAAGGGTTAATTGACTAAAATGCCCTTATGCTGGAATTTGTGTGATTATTATGATGCATGTAACCCTATTGTGATATCATAGACCCTCAGATCATTATCTTTGATTTTATTTCATCCGATGGTCCAGATTTGTGCATTCTGACACACAATAGTTAGTAAAAACAAAATAACCTAAGCCTATATATATATATATATATATAATATTATATATTTATATATATATAATATATATTATTATATATATATATATCCCTATTCTAATAATGAATAGTTTTAATCCTTTTTCCAAGTGTCACTCTAATACAACTCATCATTAATATTATGACATGTGTCATGTAGATATATAGGCAACTCATTTCAAAATTCAAATTTACATTTTCTAATTATATTTTAAATTTGAAGTTATAATAACTTTAAAAATTTGTATATATCTCTTATAATAATTTACTTAAATGATTTATTTAAACTAATTGATTAATAATTATAATTTTTATTATGAAAGTTGAATTAATTTTATAACCCGTTGTTCCCAGGTTATAAACTAGTCTATATCTATATATTATATATATATATATATAATCTATTCTATAATATTATATTATATCAACCATTGAATGAAAGCGTAACAATGTCTATTTGTTAAATAAGAAATTAATTACCAATAAGATATTTGTGGGTTAACTTTTTCTTACAAAGAATGCATCAATACTCCTTACATTCACAAAGTATATACATGACATGCTTATTTGAACTGGATTATCCGAATAAAATTGTTACCACATTCAACACTATATGCAGTTCACTAACTACCAACATATACATTTTTATTTGCGACAAGAACCCCATATTAAAAACTGATCATTTTTAATGCAACAATTTCACCAAATAATATTAAATGCAGTTTGCAAACTTCTACGATGACTCTTTTTAGTGATCTAGCATATTTTGGTCGATTTAAGGGATTTAAGTGGTTGGAGTTTCTATCAAATGTATCATATTTTTACTTAAAATCGACTGGTAAATTAAACTCTAAATAAAAAATCATGGGGGTTGCTCTAGGTGAATGTTGGTGGGTGCCAGAAGTGAACGGTGGTTGTATCATATTCCTTTGTTTTTATATTAGTTATCGATGTATTTGTTTTTTTTTTTTTTTTTTTTTTTTTTTTTGTAAATTCTTGGATTTGATCTAGGAAGAATCATGAAACTTAAGTTTATTTCTACATTAGAAAAACTAGTTTATAACTCATAGGAACCCCGGTTACAAAATTAATTAAACTTTTATAGTAAAAATTTAAAATTATTAATCAATTATTTTAAATAAATTATTAACTAAAAAATATTTGTTTAGTTATATAAAATTATAATCGTTGATTTAATTAAATATGTGATCTTATAATCTTAATTAATTTTATTTTAATTTTTATTCTAATGTTATTAATTTAATGTAGTTAGAGTGGAATTTAAAATTTGAAATTTGAAATAAAAAATCAATAGGTTGTCAAGTGGCATGACATTAATTAGAAGACCTAATAAAATTAGAAATTAAAAAATAAGAATAAACATATTCTTTTATTAGAACAAGATAAAATTGGTCGTTGTATTAGAACATCTCTTATTGAGTGATCTTTAAATGTCAAATATAAAATAATTAATGTTATAGATAATATTTTATTATGGGAGTGGATTGTTTTTTTATTTAATATCAACCATATTTATCCTATCAAATGGTGTTTCAGTTTTGATGTTTTGTACAATTAATCATTTTTTCTACTTTACTCCACTTGTTATATTTATCCTTTAAAACATTATTATTTTATTATATATATATATATATATATATAATATATTATTATATATCTATATATATATATCTTTTTTGCATTTTCTCTGCAATATAAATATCACAATGATCATATATGGACTCTAGATTTATCAATATTTATTTTAATTTTGTATATTGTAATATGCTTATTTTTATTTAATTTCGCTAATAACTTTTTAAATTTATAACATTACATATGATAAAAAAATATCATATTAGACCGATGGGATTTATAAAATACTAATTTATAACCTTTGAGAACCACAGTTACAAAATTAATTACACTTTCATAGTAAACGGTCATAATTATTAATCAAATAATTTAAATAAATTATTAATTAAGAGATATTTTATTTAGTTATGTAAAATTATAATTGTTGAATCAAATATCTATGTGAAATATTTTATATCTTCAATATTTTTGAAATTTAAGTATACAAACACCGGATATATTGGTTATATGTTAAAAAAATTATTGCTTAATTTTCAGGGATTGCATAAATGGAAGGCAAAATACAGTTGTAGGACATTTATTATACGTAATCCGTTGTTTGTTTTGTAAAATCTGTAAATATATCACCTTATAATTTGTTTTAATTTAAAATTTTAATTTTAATTTTAATTTTAACTTTAATGTTTTAATTTTTAAGTTAATTAGTTAGTAGTTTCTTGTTACCTTGTGTGATATAGTTGTAGGAAAATGAAATTCAAAAAGGAAAAGAGAAAAGTGATAGGTGACATCTAATATTAATGAGTTTTAATAGTATGATATGTCAAAAAGAGAATAAACTTATTTTTTTATTAGAGAGATTTCAACAACAAATTAGTGTAAATTAGTTAATTTCATAAAAAAAAAATGCTTATAGAAGTGGTTAATGCTCACACAATATTTAAGTTAACAACATCTTGTTGAATATATTTAATGGAAAGATGATGTAGTATAACAAAAGAAGCTATCCATTTGGTCAATGATTGGAGATGTTATTAGTCTTATTGATACTCTTATTATTAGATGACAATATTCCCCTCCTATTTTTACATGACAATATTGCCCTCGAAATCATATGATTTAAATAAGATCCGATTATTTTCAAAGATATAAATCTTGCATTGTTCCATTTAGTTTTATAGAGTGGGGAATGGTTATGTTGCTCATCTTCGTTACCGAGTTGTAATCGAAAAGTTAAAAAAAAAAAAAAAGAGAGAGAGAGATCATATTAGTGTTCTAATGATAAATCATATTAGTGTTCTAATGATAAGAGTAAAGAGTTATTTGATAGTTATTGATTGAATCAGATATGATCAAGTCGGCGTCTAATTCAGTAAGACTCATTCATCTTGAACGTGATCGATTAAGTGGCATTTTAGAGGAGTCATGACCGAGTCAAGTCAAGTCAGAAGCTTCTAAGTGTAGCATCAAACAGTAACATCAAACAGTCTCAAATTGACCAAATCAAACCCAGCCTCTTACCAGACCCCGTAACCCTGTAAGAAGCATATTTAACAACCCGTAAGAGTTGAACAAAAGAAAGGCATTGACTACCCGTTTTGATTTCATATAGAATTTTTACCTGTTCAGAAAAAAAAAATTCAAAATTAGCAAAAAAAAAATCTAAGAACATCTAATTTTTACAAAAGTTCAAAGTAGGTAGACGACTCCAAGTCTCGAGCTACAAAACCATCTAAAGTTACCCACTTTTGGAAATACCAACATTTTGTGTATTTGTGTGACATCAACATTCACAAATTAACAGCTTAAAAGATGCATTATGTATAATTTATTTTTGACAGAAACAATTCCAGCATAACGGTCTGTCGAATGGCAAAAACACATACAGCTTCTGCTTGAATATCAAGCTGCATACATGAACTTATGTAAAAAACCTACATCATTAAAGAGAAATAGCCGGAATCATTATACCTTTTGCAAATTGTCTGCATATTTAGTTTGGGCTCTGATGTCAGCAGCCACCTAGCACTAGCATGTCACTTATTTACATCTCACATGATCCGACTGTACAGTATGGGTCAGCTCAGAGGTTAGTGGAAAACCAATGGAAAACATCAATAATATCGGACACAAAAAAAACCATTAAATACACATCAAATACGGTAGACATTTCATAATATGGCAATAAATGCTTTTTTTTACATAAAGAATGTTTTGCTTTTATATATTCATGTCATCTATTAGGAATACTACTTGAAGAAGAAATTAAGTTTTTAAGATGAATCAAATGCTCATTATTTGATATATGGAGCGACATACGAAGATTTGTTACCATTGATTCTTTTTCCCAACTTAATGGCCCTGACGCATGCAATGCCTCAATTGTACGCCTATACGCCTTCAACTCTAACCTATGTATCTCTGCCCCCAATCCCAACTCCTTTTTATTATCCCCAAAATACCATCCTTCACAAACAGACTCTCCATCATCACTTTCAATATCACCTTCTTTTATATTCTGAAATTTATCATCAACACTGCAACTACCAATAGAACTAGTATCACTAACACTATCATGAGTGTACCTTTGCTTCTTGTTCCGGTTTCCAATCACAACCCATTTGTTATTCTGCCATGATTGGCGTACATGTAGCTCTGATTTTCTTGCTTTGATCTCTATGAAAGATCCGACTAATCTGATTTTCTTGCTTCCTCTCTTATACTTCATGATGCAAAAGTTGCGTTTTATCCCAAATCGCGGTCCTCTGGATCTGTTCAATTGGAAATTAGAAGAGTAAATTAGAAAACATTATGTGATAATTATAGGATATAGTTACATAAAAGTAAATGAAACCAAACACAAACATAAGACGAAATAATAAGATCATAAATTACCTAAACAAGAACACCAACAAACAACAAAAGCGCATTTACATTCTTCTATATGTATATACACTACAAAGTACAAACAAGTTAACAAGATAACAAGATCAAGTCAACTACCAACAAAAGTAACTTTGAATAACATTGACAAACATCGTATTCGTTTCTAACAGGTTTTTGCACAAAAAGAATTCGAAATCTTGATAAAGAAACCTATTAACGCGGTGTTTGTATGTGCTTTAAATCCAAGTTATATAGATTTTCCGATTAATAAGAGTAAAAATAATGAAGCAATTACGAGAACGAAAAGAACAAACACATTAACAAAGTATGATCAACATCAAATGCCGTTACAAATTAACAAAAAGAAACTTCAATCAAGCAGAAAATAATCAGCAAGATGAAGCTGATAACTAACAAATCAATAACAATCATTCAACGACACATTAAAAATCATCGAACATCGACGTCGGTCGAAATCCTAAAATTAAAGAAAGCTGATAACAGATTGATGAATGGAATCACTAATCTTTTGAATTTGAGAAGTTCGATTTCAGAGTCTTGATCGGGGTTGCGTTTTTAATTGTCGGAGGAAACAGGAGGAGGTTTCCAACTGCACAAGAATTATGAAGAATACCTTGTTGAGAGGAGAAATTGAACATAAGTAGGAAGAAAATGTAGGAGGATATTTAATTTCTCTTGTTGAGAGGATTCAGGATTATTATACGCTTCATGTATAATTGTATACTATACAACGTTTTTCTCCTTTCGTGATAGTTTAAGTTGCAAAAAATTCATTAGGTTTTTATTTTAATTTCATCGTTATTTTTTTTAATTAAGACAGTGATTTATTCAAATTGTTCCAATGTTGACCACTTAACTTTTTATTCGGTTGTTCGGTTGTCGCATGACATGATCTGTCTTCCTGGATAACATAGCAATCCTTTATGACGTGGCAATGGTGTCAAAATAATATATATATATATATATATATATATATATATATATATATATATATATATATATATATATATATATGATTTTAATGATAATTATCCAAAATATAGTGATTTTTGACAATTTGGTCTTATCATGAAAAAATATGAATTTGTAAAACTACTCCTAAGTAATACCTTATTAATGTAGGCATTCCTCCAAACAAAGAGTAGCCATGTATAACATCCGTGACACGGGGTTACATGTATTCTTGTTAAATTCTTAGTTTTAAATATTATTAGGAGTGTTGTCATATATGGAAAGTACCATATACGTTAGGTAGTTAGAAACTAAAAGAAAACATGAGTGTTGTAGGATTTGTCAAACACTAAAAGATAGGGGATCGAAACTGAAACATGTTGGATTATGTTAAAGGTGACTTGAGCATTCTGAATTAAGGAGCATTTGGAAGTGCTAAGACTTTTGTCAAGGGCACTCCTAGCATGCCAGAATGTGCTCCACCTCATGGAAGCATCAAAATGTGCTAGGGCTTTTCCCAAAGCACTCTGGCTGAAGAGAGGATGTGGTGTTGCTCAGAGAATGCACACCAGGATTTGCATGATGCTCTAGTTCTTCATGAATGCGCTCCTGTCCTTCAAGGATGCTGCTCAGAGAATGTTCACGTTGTTGAATGTGTTGGTTTTCCTAAAGGTGCTCTCTTGGTCTTAAGGTCCTCTCTTGGTGACAAGGTACTCTTTGGTGCAAAGCTGCTCGTGGTTATGTATCTTATGAATACGTTTTATGCATGGAGAATGTGCTCCATGCATGATTAAAGGCATTATAGGTGCATGGAAGGTGGCCATGCACATTACCTCAAGGTTGAAGATTCTAGGAGCAATTTAATGGTTTCATGTGATTGGTTGGCATCCATTTGAGCCTATGAACGGATAGGCATGTCCTATTAGGGTTTCATGTCTGATTCCTAATCTATAAATATGGAATGGTATCTAGGATTTTTTTATTGGAGAGTCTTTGTAAGGTCTTTGGTATGTCTTGATTGTATTGTTACTATATTTGAACTAATTGAATAAAAATATTCCATCTTGCCGTGTGGAGGTAGGTCACATTCACTAAACCATGTTAAATATTGTGTATTTGTGTGTATGTGTGAGTCTACATTCTTTCTTGTTTATTCCATAAAAAGGTGTATTAGAGCTACAGTTTGTTATGTTGATTGAAGAGATGTCGTCTCATAAATTCGAGTTAGAGAAATACAATGGTTCGAATGACTTCAATTTCTGGAAGTTGAAGATGAGGGCTCTTCTGATTCAACATGGGTATGCAATGACTTTGGAAGGAGAAACGAAACTACCAAAACACATGGATGAAATGCAGAAGAAGGATATGCTAGAAAAACTGGATATCGTTATTCAGTTAAGCTTGACAAACGAAGTAATGAGGGAGATTGTGTATTAAACTTCCGTCACGTTGGGCTTTAGGAGAAGCCCTATGACAAGTATCAAAAGAATTATCTCATGAATCGGTTGTATCAGAAGCAACGTTAGTATATGGATGACTGAAAATACCCAAATGGTCATCTGGAGAACTTCAATCTTCTAAAATCGATTTTCAACTATGTTGTTATGAAGCTTTTTATACCAGTTGTTGGAAGCCTGTTGAAGTCCATAGAGGGATTTTCTCAGCTTGTATACTCTTGTTTAGCCTTCTTTAGTGAAACCTTGAGGTATCTTCATGTAGACTTCTTCATCCAAATCTCCATGTAGGAAGACATTGTAAACGTCGATTTGATGAATCAATCATTTTTGGTTGCGACAACAATAAAGTGTCATGGAAGTCCACCCCTCCATCTACGTTAAAACCCTTTGCAGTGTGACGCTTCTTGTATATTTCTATCTCTCCATTGGGTTGGTATTTGATTTTATATACCCACTTTGAATCTATTGCAAGCTTACCACTTGGTAATTCTTCAAGAGTCCATGTCCCATTTTCTTCAAGAGCTCCCACTTCCTTTTGCATGGCTCCCCTTCATTTCATATCCTACATAGCTTGGTTAAAATGTTCTGGCTCATTGTTTTAGCTGATGGCCGCCAAGAATGCTTGTTGAGTCGGTAATTTTTTCATATGAAATAAAATTAACCAGAGGGTGTATCGTCGATGACTGTTGATTGGACGTTGGTGGTGCTTGGTTTATCAAAGAGGGTATCTTCACAATGAAATCATCAAGGTGTTTGGGTCATGACTTCTTTCCCCTTTCTTTGGGATTTTCTATTGGTTGTATATCAACAACATGTTTTATTTAGTATTTCATGTTGTTTCTAGAGGTGTCCTTTCGGTCCATGTATTTTGATCACACACATCTTCGTTTTGAATATTTGCGGTGTTTCGATAGATGTTATCTTCGTTCTTGGGTTCTTGCGATGTTGTTTAACATCTATATCATTTCTTTATGTGACCGCATCGTTTTACTGGATTGTTTTTTCCAGAACTCGATGTCTTTTGTTCGATTTTTGTAACATCCATAAAAATCATGCCAAATTTAAACTTTTAAAAATATTCCAAAACCATTGATTATTACAAAAACTGTTTCCAAAATAGTTTAGTGTCAAAATATCCCAGAATCAAATCATAAATAATAGGAGGTGTACGATCATGCTTTCGCCTTCCCGCAATCATCAGAAGTACCTAAAACAAAATCAACAACTGTAAGCCCGAAGCTTAGTGAGTTCCCCAAAATACCCATACACACATCAACATACATATAACACAAACAACATACTATGGGTCCAATCAACCATCAGGTTGGAATACCCCATGCTCTCAACCATCGGGTTGGAATGCCAATCATACTATAGGTCCAATCATCCTCGGGATGGAATACCCCAGGCCCACAACCTTCGGGTTGGAATGCCCTCATACTACGAGTCCAATCATCATCGGGATGGAATGCTCACGGCCCACAACCATCGGGTTGGAATGCCCAGGTCTGTTGGCTCTCGCACAAAGCAGATGAGCCTCAACCACCAATCAACATGTGCATATATATCAGATAATCACATAACAGTCCATAGACAAACAAACCGATCATATTAGCATAACATCATCCTATCTACCAGGATACTGATCTACAGATCATAGCAACATAATACCATCCTATCTACCAGGATACTAATCTAACAGCTCATACTAGCATAACATATCAGAATAACAATCAAAAAGGGTCGGCCTTGGTGCCTTAGACCCTTGAGCATAGTGAGGAAACTCACCTCACAACTGTCGAACTGAAGTGATAAACTCAAACTCTCGAACCACAGCCACGAACTCCACCACCTATATTTACCATAAGACTCCCTTCCATAAATTCCCAAATTACCAAAATACCCCCAGAGGTCAAACTGGTCAACCCTTGGTCCAAGTCAAAGTCAACGGTCATAGTCAACAGTCCATGTTGACTCAACTTGTCGAGTGCAGCTAGCAATTCGTCGAGTCCCTTAAGAGTTCAGAAGGTCATAAAAACCCTCACTGATTTGCCGACTTTCCGACCAACTCGTCGAGTCTATGCATGTCCAGAAGTCGGGGAAAACCTTAACTGACTCGTTGAGTCCATACAGAAACTAAACAACGGGAAAACCCTTCCCAACTCGTCGAGTTCCTTAACCGACTCATTGAGTTCATACAGTCCATTTCTTGTCCAGATGATTTTGAACCATTCTAAGGCTCCAAATGGTAGATCTAGCTTCCTAAGGCATTCTTATCACGTAAAGTTGCAAACTTTACGTGCATGCAAGGCTCTAAAGGCTTACAATACCAAATCCAAGCTTAAAATGGGGTTTAACTCAAAGGGAAAACCTCATACTTGCTAAAGCTGGAAACTTTATAGTTATAGAGACC